TCACACATCCAGGAGAAAAGAAACTTGTCAACGCTGCCTCATGACTTTTATTAATAACAGTTTAAATACTGAATCGCTACATTATATTTTCTAGCAACGAGAGGATAAAATCGCTGTTTTTTTAAGTAAACTCACTCTAAAAAGACAAAAAAAAAAAAACTTTCATCTCTCTCTCTTTCTCTCTCTCTCGAATTGGCAATATTTGAGAAAAGGGTTTAGCGATTTCTAATTATTGGGGGGACTAGCCCCCCTCAATGTCTATGGTGGTTATCGCCCCGATCAGACATGAAAATATGTTGTGGCACTATCGTGCAGTCTATAATGATGTGATGTTAGTTAGCAAATATTAGCGATTTTTTGCAAACATTTCTTTGAGTAACATGACCGTAAATATGAACTCACGATTGAACGTAACGTAAAACAAATGATTACTTTTCGTTAAAATCTTTATAAATGCCAAAAATGCTTATATTTCTGTGTCTTTTTGTTCGCTCGGGCAGCCATGTTGCCGCTGAAGCCGGTTTACGCTGAGATAATTCATACCCCTTCGTTTGAAGTGTGGTCCCGAAAAATCTTCGTTTGAAGGGCTGTCTGGCCCTTCCCCTCCAACCAAAAGAGAATTGAGACACTCCTACCCCTTCACGTGAACGCGCGAAACGGGAAAGGGGAAGGGCTAAGGGGTAGAATTGGGATTGGGCCTAAGTTCTTGGTGCAGAAACCCTTGTTGGCAAGCACAGAGGTAAGACATTTTTTGTAGTTGGTCACCAGGTTTGCACACATCTCAGGAGGCATTTTGATCCACTCTTCTTTACAGATCCTCTCTAAATCCATAAGGCCTGTACATGCCTGTACATGTGCCTTCTTGAGCAGGGGGACTGCAGGATTTAAGTCCATTGCGGCGTAGTGTGTTACCAATGTTTTGCTTGGTGACTGTGGTCCCAACTGCATTAAGATCATTAGCAAGCTCCTCCTGTGTAGTTCGGGGCTGATCCCTCATCTTTCTCATGATCATCCTTACCCCATGAGGCAAGATCTTGCACGGAGCTCCAGATCGAGGCCGATTGATGGTTGTTTTGTATTTCTTCCATTTCCGAAAAATCTCCCCAACAGTTGTCTCCTTCACACCAAGCTTCTTGCTGATGGTGTTGTAGCCAATTCAAGCCTTGTGCAGATCTACAATCTTGTCTCTGACATCCTTTGACAGCTCTCTGGTCTTGCCCATGGTGGTGGGAGAGGTTGGAATGGAAGATACAGATTGTGTGGACAGGTGTCTTATACACCTGTTACGTCCTCTGGACATAATTGTTTATTTATTATTATTATTTATTTTTGCTGTGGTGATGTGTTTGTGTATTGTGCAGTTTCCCTTCTCTCTCTCTCTCTTTCCCTTTCCCTCTGAGCAGTGTTAATTGGACGCAGCTGCAGGTGGTTATGTGGAGGATGGAGCGCGCTTAAAAGCTGAGGAGGATGGCATTGAAGGGGGGCGTTCGACATGTGGGCCGATTTGGTTCGGCGTTGTGAGCTCGCTGTGTGTGCGTCGTAGAGCTCTGCTGTGTTGGTCACTGCCGTTCTGCCCGCCATCTCCTGCCCCAGACATTCATCGCATTTGTTGTCTTTGCGGTAGCTGTTGAGTTGCTGCCGTTTGAGTGAGAGTTCTTTGGTCT